ATTCAAGAAGTAGTGACTGTACATCGACAAGCAGAGGAACACTTCAGTCAGGTGCTGGACTGCATCACCGACCATCCTGGACTCAATGCTGTGTGGCCAGACCCATATGGATTACAGGTGGCATGGATGACCTACAAGCAGCAGTACAAAGGCAAGGCATTTGATGGGCCACAGGATGCCAAGTATAGGCATTTGCCTACCGACAATTGGTGCGCTGGTGCTGGAAGTTTCTTGGTCAGGACAACCGTGTTGTACTCCCAGCATGCGCCGTGTCTTGTATTGGGGCACTTTTTCCACCACCAGGAGAAGAGGAGTCAGCTGTATTCAAAGGGTTCGTGTTTCACAGAGAAATGTTCCAGAACTGTGATTTGGACTGGTTTTAGAGTGGTTAATGTGGACATGGTGTCTATCATCACAAAATACTGTAATAAAAATAAACAAATGAGGACAACTGACTACAGAGAATTTTTTTTTTTTTAATTTCCTGAGGAATCTAGTCTGGTGCTCGGCAATAACGGTTGACATGTCCGGTCTGTTCAGTGCTGCTGTCAGAAATTGCGGGTCGACACACACATCACCAGTTCTGCACTTATTTTGAATGGCAGTCAGTTTCATCACAGGCAGTCATTCACATAGTCTACAAAAAAAAAAAAAAAAAAAAAAACATGTTGGGATGATAAATATTTGGATGACATCTGGGTTATACTCAGTATGTAATGCATCTGCCTGGAATTACTTTTAATTTCATAACTTACCATAAGTTGCATCCACCAGGATCTTTCTCAGAGAAGACCCATCACTCTTATATTTGGGATAAATGATACAGTAGGAGTGTATTCATTCCTTTGTCACTTTCTGTGGTCTGCCGGTATTTTCATTATAATGCATAGCAGCAAGAATTATTCTGGAATAGAACAAAAAATGTCTTATTTAAAAAAATTGTCAAATTGTGATGAAATAACTTTATATCTCAAAGTTCTACATTTCACTATAGTCTACATTTCATGCATATCAGTTTTCTTTAACACACCTGCTTTTCATTCCTTTGTACGAGAAGTAGTACATCTTTGTGGCAAAGTGATTCACCACACTGTGAAAAGCTTCCACGCCACTGGTCTGTCCGAGGTGAGACATCTTCATGACATTGTTGACAAACATGGTCTTTGTCAGGAGTTCCACCACTGCGACATTGACTTCAGTACCTTTAAATGAATTTACAAGGTATGACGATATTTATATTTTTTAGGTTTAAGAGCAGGCAACATCAAAAAAAAAAAAAAAAAAAAAAAAAAAAAACTGCTAATAGCCACGCTTTTTCTCTAGTATTTGGAGGATGTAAACAACTATCAAGCATGTTCTGCAGTTGGTCCACACAGGCCAGCCACTTCTGCTTCTTTTCCTCTGGTGTCTGGGAGGAAAGTGCACACCAGTGCAAATGGCACTTCAAACTTTGTACAGAGTGACCCAAAAAGATGCGTACCCATATTTTATTCGATAAAAAATCAATTTTTAAACGAATGTCTTTTCTGTTGCAGGACGTGAAAGGTGAACCTATGGATGATCGTTTTCAGCTATAGTTGCCCCAAAAATGTCTTGGACAAATCAGCAGAAGACATTCTCCCTCGAGATCTATTTTGCGACAAAATCATACCAGAGTGTACAGATTCAGTTTCGAAAACGTTTCCATTGTCGCAACTTTCCACCAAAATCAACGATTGTTAGTTGGGTTACGAAGTTCAGAGAGCATGGGACTGTAGTGAACTTATGTTCTAAAGCCACAGGGGGAACTTATTCAGGCAGGAAAAAGAGTGCAAGGACAGAAGAAAACATTGCTGCAGTGAGGGGTTCTGTGGGGTTTCCTCAAAGACAATGTATACCAGGGAAATCCACAAACAATTGAGGAACTGAAAACTGCCATCACAGCAAAAATAAGAGCCATCCCGAAAGAGGAGTGTGTAAAAGTGATTGACAACTTTGTCAGACTTCTTTTTGGCCAAGGAGTCCAGTTTCTTGCACATACCTGTATATTTAATATGATATGAAAACTCGTGAAGTGACGTGCATGATATATAAGACATAATCCCAAAAACTCGCGCATTTATAAACATTGAAATACACTAACCTTTAACAATGTGCCAACAATCATAATCAAAAGATGACTTGGGTCCAATTCTCCCTGATCCATTTTGCCACCTGGCGATACCTGTCAGTGACGACAACTTTTACATTGAAGCCTTCCAACTCCAGATGGCATTTTTTTCAGGCCCTCTAGTTCCATTCCATAGCTTCCTCGAGTCTCGTTACTCTAAAAGATAAGTTTAATACGCGTCATGAGACTAAAATAATTGGCATGTAATTATGCCGCATATAATCTACAAAGCAGTTCACTGCCTGTGGGCTAGTCGCAGTTTTCCAAGAGGACGTGTCATGTTCATTCGTCAACAAAGCAGCACTGCCAACCTCTTGAAATGTACTTCCAGAACAATTTGTCTGACCGCCATTAGTACTCATCGCTCATATGAATAGCATCGATCGGGGTTTGCCTCGAGCCGAAAACTAACGTCACTAGCTTCTGTTCAACGTTGCTAGCTTCTCGAGTTAGCTTTCGGCTAACGTCGCTACCTTCTACTGTTCATTCCACAAGAGTTGGCAGCTGTGCTACTGTCCATTCCACAAAAGTTTGCAGCTATGCTTTGACAAAATCAATCATCATCTATCCAAAAATCACACTTACTTTTTTGCAAATCCTTGATCATAAGCAGACCGGTTGAGAAAGCAGTCATCTTTGAAGTGGAGATGGCAGAGAACACTCGTCGATGATGGCGTGAAATTCATTCGCTTCGTGCAAATAAAAGATGTCCATTTAAGTGCCCTGCTATCCTTCGGCCACGGGTACAACTTTTCTGTCGATTGCGAACAATTCATCGCCACACACCGCAGTGGCATCTTACCAACAAGCAATGCAACAATGCTGTTCAATGGAAAGACTTCCCTCGAGGTTCTCCATGTGACGTCATTTCCGAAGATTGCAGAAGAAAAGCATTTTCGTTGTCAAGGGCGTTGCTATGGGTTAAACAAAGAATCTGGAAGGGTTGCGTTTAAAAAAATAACGGAAATATGCTTATAATTGTTCAGCCGTTGATATTACTCAAAAACATGGTTGGCCAATTTTACTTTTACACTTGGTCTTTGAAGTTGAGATTGAATACATTAAAGTGGACACATCCACAAACTACTAGCTTTATTTAATTATGTATTTATTAGAGCTGTCAAACGATTGAAATATTTAATCTAATTAAAAATGCAACTGTCATAATTAACTCAAATTCACTAAAAATTAATCATGATTACTCACGTATTTTTTGTCGTTTTTGAATTTCCTTTTATATTTTAATGCTCTCATCAACATGGAATAATGAATCCGTTTTCTATGTGCAAAATGCAAATATTTACTGAAATAACAATTTCAATTTTCAATTTTACATGAACATTTTTCACTTGGAGCAGTTATTCAAACATAATATCTCACACAATATGACTGTCCATCAACATCAGTGAAAAAAATATTTTGTCACACAACAGCTGCTTTAACAGCTGTATTTATCAATCAAAACAGAGCAATATAACATTATAAAGCTCACATCTAAGGTAAACTAGTACTCAGCCTAAAGTGGATTTAAGCCATGGTTGCATACTTCGTTTTTCTCAAGTTTGCTTTGAACACAGCAGTCAGGCTATGTTGATTCTGTTGGTCCTTCTTGCACAGAAGTCTCTCTACGGTTTTGTGTAGACATCATTTCGGATGACTACACTTGGTTCGATGACAACACTGGAGACATTTTATTTTCAGTGTTCGCTAGGTCGCTACCACTGCACCGCTGAACTCTCAATGTGCCACAGCGCACCGTCGCTGTCAGAGGAACACAGAGAAGCTCCACCCGCTTTATTTATATGGCCATGGAACACTGTAACCTTCCCCACGAAATAGTTCCAAACAAGTAACAATCGCGTCAGTGGCATACATCGTATTCGACTGGCTACCTGCTCTTTATTCACCAGAGGCTCATCAACCTCGTCTCTTATTTCTCTCCCGAAACAGTGACTTCTCCCGCTTGGTGTACCTGAGCCTTCTCCACTATGTACAATCTCTGTACACAGCTTGTAATGGATGCTCTCGCTGGCAATCCGTAGTGGAGTCGTTAGATGCAATGCGAATTATTTCAGCTTGAGTCGAGCTGTGGACAATGTTGACAGGCTTGCATGCAGTCGCCATACATTTAGCTATGGCTTCAGCAAATTTGTTCTTTGTCATGTCATCCATTTTCTTCGTTTTGAAATGATCCACAGCTGTCTGTCTGAGATGAGGGGGGGGAGGACTCACGTCAGCTGTGTGCTTGGCCATTAAGTGGTATTTCAGACTCGACATGCGATGATGATAGCTCAGTTTACGACTGCAAAACATACAGGTAACTTTGGACTTGTCAGTGGAACAATCTGGCAATTTTTTAAAAGTAAACTTTCCATTCATAAACTCTTTAAGTATCCGTTTTCGGTGCTTCGCGCGTGCGTGGACTTGTGCAGCGCGCTTGTTGTTTTGTTTCTGGTTTATTTATAGAGCAACGTAACATCCGCTGTTACTTGTCCCGCGTTAATCTCGCGAGAAAAAAAATTAATCCCGTTAAAATTCATTTAAATTAATGCTAATAAAAACGCGCTAAACTGACAGCTCTAGTATTTATGTATTTTTTTATGTAAAGTTACAATTGTTGGCAAATCATGAAAACATAATTAGCTTTTCATACATTTTGTTTTAACACACGAAGCATCGATTCAGTAACCTGTGTTGTGGAAAAATGAATGGGATTTCAAGCATGCACAGTTTCAGTAGTTAATAGTCAAAGGACATTTTCAAAGCAGAATCCGGAGAGTAATGAAAAAGAGAGCGGAGCAGTTGTAGTGGTAGTGCAGTACTAATTTAAGACAAACATGAGAGGTCTTACCAGGAGAGAAGGCTGAGAGGCTCGTTCTGGAGCCATCTCCGATGAGGGGACAACATCTCTGGTAAATCCCTGAGTCAACTCCCGCTCAATCCAACCACCTTGTACAGTCTGTTCGCTGTTGCACGGTGGGTGTGCTCTCTCTCTCTCTCTCTCTCTCTCTCTCTCTCTCTCTCTCTCTCTCTCTCTCTCTCTCTCTCTCTCTCTCTCTCTCTCTCATTATGTGCTTTCAAAGCACTAATATCTAATTGAGAAGCACCTTTGTTTTTTTGTTTTATTTTTTGACAAATGAATAGAAACTATGGGGGCAGCACGTAGTAAAAAATAGTGGTCAGCAATCTGCCTCACAAACTGTGCTCTTCTAAATTTTCCGTAGGTTTCAAATGAAGAGTATGAATGATTGTTTGACTACGTGCGTCCAACGATTGGCTGGCGACCAGTCCAAGGCGACCCTGCTTCTCACCAAAAGTAAGGTGAAATAGTCTCAATCTTGTGCATGACCTGAATGAGGATAAGGAGAATATGCCTGTTTTCCAATGATTGAAAAGCCAATAATAAGGATAATGAGGAGACACGAACACCTGGTACCTCTAATTACAAAATTAATTGGTTCTGGAAGACATTTCTTAACAAGAAAATTTTGTAAGTAGAGATGCATTTTCCATGTAAATGCCCTAATTCGTTCCAGGACACCAAAAAAAAAATGCATCAGAATATGTAACATGTTACAATTAGATTATTGCACAATAAATGAGAGTTGTGCATAATATAAAAAACAAAGAATAAGGAATAAAAATGTTGGTCATTTAACTTTTAACTGCGTCCTCATCATTTTTTTTTTTGCCCTCTTTAGTTCATGTTCTCTCTCAGAAGTGGTTTTTACCTGGCGTTTTGGAAAGAACTGATCTAAAGATGTTTGCTTTTGTCAGCTTTTAACAATCCTTCGAAAATGTCCAAGGCAAACATCAGCATAGTGAGCGATCGCCGGACTGGTCAACACTTTTTCTGGGTGATTCACATTTCCGAAAAACCATCCATCCGCCTCGTGGCCCGAGGGGCGAATGACGAGGACGCTGCATAGACACATTCTATCTACACACACACACACACACACACACACACACACACACACACACACACACGCACACACACGCGCACACACACACACACGCACACACACACA